TGTAAGGTATACAAGGTGTAAGGTATACAAGGTGTAAGGTATACAAGGTGTAAGGTATACAAGGTGTAAGGTATACAAGGTATATGAGTCAATATCAATGGCAATGCCAATGCCAATGTCCTTAATCCCCAATCCCGTCCCTAAATAACCAGTACCTAGTACCTAGTACCCTACCTAGTACCCAATACCTAATACTCAATACAATACTCAATACCCTACTCAATGCAATCAATCCCTTGATCACCGCTCACCATTCAATAAGATATATAATATAGGCACCGAGGTCAAGACTAGGTAGACTGGACTGGGCTGGGCTGGACTGAACTGTGATACCAATACTATCTATGATACTGATATTGATACTCATACTGACCTTGCCTTGCCTATGCCATTACTTGTACTTGCACTTGCACTTGCACTTATACGGTATTTGACCATGACCTATCTTCTCTGGTACGTACTCGCACTTATACTTAGGTATACGGTCTTTGACCATGACCTGTCTGTTCTCATAAATACTCGATTATGGTATTTAACCTCGTGCCTGTCTGTTCTCGTACTTGATTATGGTGTTAAGCCATGACCTGTCTTCTCTGGTACTTGCTTTCACTTATACTCATACGGTGTTACCATGGCCTGTCCATCCTGGTACTTCCTTGCACTCATACGATGTTAACCATGACCTGTCTTCTCTGGAACGTACTGTACCCCAAGACATGACCTACTTCTCTCCCACAGCCACATCTTCAACTCGATCCTCCACCTGTTCAGGATTGGGATTGGGAGTGGCCGACTTCTCCGACTTGGACCCCAATGCCAACTCCAGCTGGGCATCTGCATCCGCATCGGGAAACTGCAAGGCGACGTCGTCGCCGAACTTGGCGTTGATTTCTTCGAGGGTGAGTTTGGCGGTCTATTGACAAGTTAGAATGTCTATAATATGGGATAGTGTTTGGGATATATGGAATTCAATATGGGATACGGGATACGGGATATGGGATATAGACTCACCTCAGGACACACAAAAATCGCCACCGTAGACGCCACTATACACACGGAGATCATGACCCAGTAGTATTTCCAACCAATAGTAGCAAAGGCGGTCGAGGCCGGGCTGGTGTAGGCGATGGCGCAGCTGAAGAAGGAGACGATGCCGATGGTGGTGCCCTCGCTGCGCAGGTGGGTGGGCCAGATCTCCGAGAGGTAGACGTAGCCGACGCAGTCGACGGTGCTGCCGTAGACGAAGATGAAGAGAAAGTAGAAGGCCACGGCGGCGTTGATGCCGGATGTGTTGGTGCTGTTGAGGTAGAACTTTTGCAGGACGGACTCGAAGATGAGGGTCGCGCTGCAGAGGTAGCCTCCGATGACTGGGGTTATATTATGTTAGTTCATGTCAACAAGTGTTGGGTCTTGGGACTTGGCTTGTGGGTAGAGTATTGGGTAGAGTATTGGTCACTCACCCAAAAGCTTGACTCGGCCAAATCGATCCATCAAGGCCGCATTCACAAAACACCCCAGCACGGCACACACGGTCCACACAACCGACAAGCCGAGCTGCAGGGTGATGGTGTAGCCCAGCTGGCCGAATAAGGTCGGGGTCAAGTTGGCGATGACCAGGATCCCGGTAGACTGGCCCAGCACCCAGGTCAGGATCGAGCAGGCGGCGCGGTGGCGCAGGTGCGGCGTGCGCACGATGTGCAGGTACCCGGTGGGCAGGGAGCGCTCGGCCTCGATCTGGGCCTTGATCTGGGCCATCTCGCCGGCGGCGGCGCGGTGGGACGCGTGGTCCGGGTCGTCCTCGTCCTTGCTCTGATGCAGCTGCTGGAGCACCTGCCAGGCCTCGTCGTGTCGGCCGACCTCACACAGCCAGCGCGGCGACTCGGGCAGGATGGCCAGCGAGGCCAGCAGCACCAGACCGAAGAAGGCGAGCAGCACAAACTGCAGCCGCCACTGGTAGGGGTGGTCGACAAAGTGGAAGGCCAGCGCCATCAGCGACGAGAAGATGTACGCGTACACGATCGAGATGGCGTGGTTGCCCACCAGCATGCCGCGGATGTGCGGCGGCGCGATCTCGCTCATGTACACCGGGCAGTTGGTAAGCACAATCCCGGCCCCCAGCCCGCAGATGAAGCGCGCCACGATGAACATGGCCACGTGCACGCTGCCGGCTTGAAGCGCCCCGGACAGGACGGTGAGGAGCGCGGCAGATCCGGTGGCCACGCGCCGGCCGTATCGATTCGAGATTGGGGCTTGGATCACCGCTCCTATTAGGCCACCACCGAGGAAGCTATGGCATGTCAGCATATCAGTATGTCGACGGGGTGGCTTGTCCGGGTGTGAGTGTTGGTGTTGGGCAAGGTATAGATATAGGCATAGATAGAGCGAGGGTGAGGGTGAGGGTTCACATACGCGCCCATGATGCCTCCCACAACGGAATCGGCATTGCCGTCGCTGAGGAACTTCTCCACGAACGACGTCTGCACCAGACTTCCGGCGATGGAGTTGTTGCAGTATCCAAACACAAAGCTGCCCATGCCCGCCACCAAAATGGTCTAAAAATACAAAGTCTCCCGTCAGAGCAGTTCTAGTTCTCCCTGTCTCCATGGTGACAGGAGACGGAGACGGAGGGTTCTGTTCAACCTACCATGATGGTGGTACTGGTCGTTTTGACATGGACGTGAGACTGGTCTCCCCCGACCGTGGCACTTGCCACGCGATGGCTGAAAATCCCCATGGTTGGAAGCACAGGCGACACAGCCTGGGATGGGAAATGATCGAGTCTGTCTTTTCGGAGATGATCAAGGGAAAGTCCGATCCCGTAGACGAAGAGAAAGAGGGAGAAGGAAAAGAAGAGGGAGAGGGAGAGGGAGACGGACGGGATGGATGGATGGATGGATGGATGGGATTTTTGCTACTGGGTGCCCCCAGTTTGGTTATATACCATACTCCATCCTGTACCGCGCCTTAGGACATGAACAGAGTGCACGACCCAGTAGGCCAGGCCAAGCCAGTCCGGGGAAGGGTTAGGGTGCAAGATCAGTATTCCACCCGTCATGAACGTGGCTTTCCCCAGCGACGGGTCGACCATTCATTATTGATCCCAAATGGGATGCAAACCCCCGTGGGACTGGAACCTGGGATGGGGGGGACGGGTGGTCGATGGTCGACCTGGGCAGGCCAGCACCAACCAGCAGCAGCAGCATCAACAGCAGCAGCAGCCACAAGCCTTGTGGATGCGAAATTGCCCCGGATGGGGATGAGGGTTCGTGATAAAGTCGGTGCTCACTGAACTTGGAAGGTTACCGCGTCATCTCCAGAGTAGTCCGTCCGGAGACTGTGCAGGTCGGGAGAATCCTGGCAGATACTGTACTTACTGTACTGTACTAGTTCATGGTAATTAGTCATAGTGCAAGATTGAGTTGAACGGGGAGCTGGGGCCCCACGCCCGGCCTCGACCACTCACAGAGCACCGAGTCAGCGACGAGGCGGTGACAGTGAAAAGACGAGCTGGAGCTGGTTTGACGTGTGTGCGCACTGCGCAGGGCTCAGGGCTGTCTCTGTATCCGTACGATGAAGAGAGAGGACCGAGGACGAGTACCGAGGACGAGTACCGAGGACGAATACGGAGTACGGAATACGGAATACGAGCTCCCCAGGTCTCATCGCTTGCGAGACGAGGCAGCCCCAGACCTCTCCGCAAACCGCGCGCGTGTCTATGTGCGTGTCCCAGTCCTGTGACTGCTACGCACGGTGTAAGGGATACTGGACGGAGGACCCGGATGTACATGTACAGAAGAGGGCGACTGTACTCGTGCTAGATGGGATGGAAGAAGGGACGAGACCTGGTCAGCTGGCCTCGCCCCTCCTTCCTCCTTCCTGGATGGCGTCTTCCGGTCAATTTCCCTCGGCACGCCCCCCGGGGCCCCGGATTGGGCACAGTCAAGGCCGGGTCAGAGGTTTAGCCGCCCGAGGCCCTTGGCCTAAGCTGCCTAAGCCTAAGTAGCCTAAGCCCCGTGGTCTGAACTAGCCGCGAGCCTTCTTGGCCTGTGCTAAGCACAATGCCTGCAATAATGCCTGCAATGCCTGAGCACCATGCCTATAGGAAGACTGTGGCCCCTAAACCCTCGACGCAAATCCAAGGTTACATGAGGCCTCAGCCCCTAAACCCCTATCCCCCTACGCCTCTACACCGCCTAGGCCAGGCCCTAACCCCCAAAGGTCCCTTAGCCTGCGCCCAGAGACCAGGGGTCACCCCGCAATTTCCACCTGCACCCGAGGTGAGCCGTCCGTCAAGTCACATCCCCGTCGTCGCTCACTTGTGGCTTACGGCGGCAAACTCTATGCCCACAATCCAAGACCATCGATCTGCACCTGCATCTGCATCTGTTGACCTGTCCCCCGTATAACACAAACACCAAACATCATCACCGTCATGTCTCAAGCCAGACGTAACAGTCAGGCCACCACCTGGGCTGATGACTATGGGACGGCCGCTGGTGCCGGTGGCGGTGGGAGATCGCTGCTGGCCTGCAGCACGTGTCGAAGGCATGTTTTTTTTCCATTTTTTCCTGTTTCCCTGCTCGCTTTATCTCAAACGAGGCTTACTAATGGCGACGTGAGCACAGGAAGAAGACCAGATGGTAAGCATCGCATTGCATCGCGTCGCGTCGCTCGCACCAGGCTGCGCCCGACGTGCATCCAAGTCCAAGTCCGATCCGAGTCCCTGCTGATTGATGCCCTACCACCGCAGCGACCGCGTCCTTCCCTCGTGTCAGCCATGTACCAAGCTACAGCAACCTTGTGTCTATCCCGCCCGGCGGCTCAAGCCAGGGCCCAAATCCCGTCAGTACCAGTGTTCCGTGTTCTGCTCGGTGGCGCGAGACGGTCTCCCCGCGCCCAGAAACTACAGTACAGTCCTACTGACGCTTGTGTGGCCAGGCACCTCGCCCCATCGCTGGCGGAAATCCTCGCTGGACGAGGCCAAGGGCAAGGAACAGTGGCAAGGCGACCCTGACGCCGCGCTGCACAGCGACGACAATGATAATGATGCCGCCGTGACCGTGTCTGCCTACAGCGACGACGAGGGCACCGGGTCGTTGGACCTGGGCGGCGAGGATTCCGCGTCGTCGGCCTCGCCCGAGGTGGAAATCAACTTCGTCAAGGCGGTCAGCCTGTCATCCCTCATCCATCCCACCCACGAACCATGCTCGCCGCCCATGCCGATGCAAGAAGATGGCGCGTCGTCCGAGTCGCTGCTGAACCTGATCGAGGCCCAGAGTCTGCTGATGGAGGCGTGTCATGTGTTGGGTTTGTCGATCCAGGGGTTTCAACATTTGTGAGTGCCGCCCTGGCCAGCTCCAGATGGGAGTGATGGGGATGTTGATGTTCACGACCCTGGTTCTGGTTCTGCTACTGACTTATACTTACCCTCGACAGAACCGACTCGTACTTTGACAACATGACGGCTTTTTCCCTGTTCCATCGGCCGTCGTTTGCCCAGAAGGTCCAGAACATCAAGGACCCGCTCCACCTACAGGCCTTGTTCGCCGCCATGTTCGCCTACTCGGCCAAGTTCGAGCCCGCGACCCCGGTGGACGGAGATGCTGTAGATGGGGACGGGGACGGGGATGGGGAGGTGCGGCCCGCGACGTCGCCAGCCATGTCTCGGTTTCACCAGCTGGCCCTGGACCTGATCGAACAAGCGCTCAAAGAGATCCCCGACCAAGCGCCGGCGTTGTGCCTGCTGCAGGCGCTGACGGTCATCACCTTCTGCGAGCTGACCAACGGGGTGCGGGCGCGGGCGTGGCGGCTGCTGGGGTCCTGCGTGCGGCTGGCGTACGAGCTGCACATGCACCTGATCGACTACGAGGCACGCAAGGAGGACGTCAAGATCGGGCGCGACCTGGCGCGCTGGACGGCGGACGAGGAACGCCGGCGCTGCTGGTGGGCCATCTGGGAGATGGACAGCTACGCCAGCACCATCCGCCGGTGTCCGACCGCGATCGACTGGTCCATGATCGACACCTACCTCCCCGTGGCCGACGAGCTGTGGTTCAACAACCAGTACCACCCGAGCTGCTTCCTCGAGCCGGAGCCGGGCAACCGCTGGAAGATGCTGGCCAAGCACGGCAACACCAACCCCAACGCCTGGCTGGTTGTGATTAGTTCCATCATGCGCAACGCCCAGGTGCTGCTGCGCGGCAATCTGCAGGGCGTGCTGCTCAACCTGGACCCGCACGACAACTCGGAGCAGCTGCTGCACTACTTCCGCAACTCGTTCCGCCGCAAGACAACCCACGAGGACTCGACCAAGCTGACCACGTTGATGCACGCCCTGCAGAGCGTCATCATCAAACTGCCCGACGAGCTGGTCTACCGCGGCGAGTACCTCGACTTTGGCTCCGACCCGACCGGCCGCGTGGTCGACGTCGAGCGGAAACGTCTGCATGCCGCCAAGTACAGCATCTACCTCACCATCCAGCTGGCCCGCTTCATGATCTACCACCATTATGCCTTTGGCGAGATCGTCTCGGGCACCATCTTCTCCGACAAGCCCAGGGCCAAACCCAAACCCAAACCAGGCCAGTCCAAGTCAGGCGAGCCACACCCGCACCCGCAGCCGTCTCCCTCGGCCTCCGCCTCCGCCACCGCCTCGGCCTCGTCGTCAGATCGAGAACCGTCCGACAACGCCCAGGGCCTGCGCAACTGTCTGCAGGCGGCCGACGACATCTGCGCCCTGACCGAGAGATGTTCGCGAGATCACGTCAAGCACGTCACCCCGTTCCTCGCCAGTACCGTCTGGTTGGCCGCGTCGCTGCAAGTCCTGCGCAAGACCTTTGCCGCCCACAACGAAGACGTGCACGAGGCCAGCGCACGCTGTGAGACCCTGCGCGCCACCTGCAGCCGCTTTTCCATCTTTTGGAACACCCCGCTGGCCCTGTTGGACAATCTGGACTCGCTGGAGGCCCGGCTCTGTCACAAACGCGACTCGTTTCTGGCCACGGCCGCCGCTGCCAACAAGCCTCGCCCGGCTCACGCGAGTACCAGTACCAATCCGGGTACGAGTGCGAGTCAGTTCCGCCGGCCCATGCGGAGGCAGAGTTCCCATACCCATTCCATGGTGGAACGGACCAAACCACCGCACAAGCCGCCGGCCGATGTCGACCTAGGTAGTCCGGTCATGACGATGACCCACGATCAGCAGCAGCAGCAGCAGCAACAACAACAGCAGCAACATCAACACCAACACCAACATCAATATGAACAACAGCAGCACCAAAATCAGCAGCTACACCCACACCAACACCCATATGAACATCAATACCAACCTCAACACCAATATGAACACCAACAACACCAACAACAACACCACCAGCAACAACAGCCTTGGGACCTCCAGAGCCCCGGCACCGGCACCAATGTCGAGACCGAGGCAGTGGCTTCGCTTTCGACTGAAACTGGCCCATTCTCCCTGGAGAGGTCCACCACCAGGTCCACGTCCACGTCCACTTTCAACCCTCAGCTCCGGCCGGGTTCCCCTATGAGCCAGATATCGAAGCACGACGGCGGCAACCACACCAACGTCAACATTTCCAGCCACATCAATTTAGACTATTATCAGCCTCAGCCTCATCCGGGCCATCCCAACCACCTGATGGCCGGCCCGCACGCACCTCACATGGGCACCGAACCGGAGCTGGACAGTGTGTTTTCACAGTATCTTCTGGATGTGTTTTCAGAGCAATTCTAGTTGGGTTTACATGGTGTGTTTTACAGCAATTCTAGTTTTTGGTTGGCGCACCCACACACTAGAGGTTGAAGTTGACTCTGCTCTGAGAGGGAGAGACAGACAGACAGTGCCACTCACTGCTATTGTGAGACAGATACTAAGGAGAAGGAGAGGGAACCAAACGAAACGAAACTAATCAAGTGACAAAAAGGAAAAGGAACAGGAAGGGAGCAAGGAAGAAAGAAAGGGAGGAGGACACCGGACACAGACAGGCCTTTTCTTCTTACAGAACAGAACAGAACAGTACAAACAGGACAGGCGTAGGACTTTTGTAGTATGATGAATGAAAAGTACGAATGGATGAATGATGAATAAGTAGTATGTTGGTGGTATGAGTGAATGAAGCAGTACGAATTGATGAATGGATAAATGAATGAATAATTGAATAAGTGTATGGATCAACGAACAAGAACAAGTTTAATGCGAGACCAACCCGATCGATTGATGAACTCTAGGGAACGGAGTCTCTTCATGTCCATTAGGAATGAATCTCATCGTAATCATTGTCTTGTCTTGTTTCTCTCTCTTCACCTCAAGACAGTCGGCTTCCGCTTCGAGGGAGCAAGTACTGTATGTAGCTATGGAGTAAGGTAGGTACTGTAGCTATAAAGTAAGGTAGGTACTCCCACTCAATCCCTTTATCGCGGAATTGCGATCATGCACCATGCACCATGCACCTGGCAAGCTTGCGCTGTCTAGGACAATTCCTTGATGACGGACGCACAGTCTAAGACAATTTAAACCCCTTACCCGGATCCAACGAGGCCGTAAAATCCCCCTTCTGCGTCTTCATGTCGACCGGGAACGACAAATGCTCATGAATCCAGCGCCACTTGCCATCCTCGGGACTCTTGTGCGCCAGCCCTGTACGTCTGAATGCCGTGTCGAAGGGGACCCCGCCAGCCGTGCCCCACGTATGCTGGATCATGGTCGAGTATGCAAAGGTGGGCGAGACGGCCGTGATCTCCAGGTCCTTGAACTCCATGTAGCCGTCGTTCCAGTAGGGGAAGATGGACTCGAAGTGCTCGTTGAAGTTGCCGCGGATCGTGTTGCCGAACATGTCGTAGCTGAGCATTTCGGGGAAGTCGTAGAACCGCCGGGCCCCGGCCATGCCGTTGTGGTAGTCCGCGCGCGACTCGTGGTTCCAGTAGTGCAGCCAGCCGCGGTAGAGTTGGTCGAGAACTTCTTGTTCGGCCGAGGCGAGTTCGGGGTTGTGGTACTGAGGAGGGGGGGTTAGTTTCTTGTTCAGGTTGGTTGAGGGTCAGGGTCAGGGTCAGGGTCAGAGTCAGGGTCAGAGTCAGGGTCGGGTCAGGTCAGGGACAGGGTTGGCTTGGGGGTTTATTGGTGTTGGTGCTGGTGCTGGTGCTGGTGCTGATGTTGGTGTTGGTGGTGTTGGTGTTGGTGTTGGTATTGGTGTTGGTGTTGGCGTAGACTGGCCTGAGGCTGTGCAAAGCCACCAGGCTATGCAACAGCACGGGTGCTAGAGTAGTCCTTTTGTAGTTGTGATGGTGGTGGTTCTGTTGTTGGTGTTGTCGTCGTCATCGTGGTGATGGTGGTGGTACCAACCCCAAGGGCCACTCGGTTCGGTCCCAACAACACACACACACACACGCACACACACACACAGAGAGAGAGAGAGAAAGAGAGAGACACAAATCAACTCACCTTGCTCTTGGGCATTCGAAGGTAGTCATATTGCTTTTCGATCGTGCCGTACGATTTCTGTCACTTGTCAGCCGTGTCCTGAGATGTAGATAGAGATACGAAGACAGGGGTCGGGGTCGGGGTGGAGGTAGAGGTAGAGGTAGAGATAGATGTAGAGATAGATGTAGATGCAATATCACATCTCATCTCCAGGATCCACGTACGTCGTCCTTGACAAACCCGTTTTGATCCATTTTGACTGGACTTGATTGGTAAGTTACTGATGTAGATGGTTCTCCAAGGACAGCAGCAAAGTCTTTGAGGGAATGGGTTGGCAATCAGGAGGATAACCTGTCAAGTCAGTAGACACAGTCTTAGGATAGAATGGCTAGCAGAGTAGAGTCAGTTCAATGGGTAAAGGTAAAGGGAAAGCGAACTTCAAGACGAAACACAAAGCACAAAGCACGAAATCCAAGGATAAATACTAAATACTAAATACTAATACTGCTGCCAACCGGGTAACGGTGTCTGCTCGATATACGGGGTACTCCTACATACCATCGGGGTCGATGGGGGACACTGTAGGAGCGAGCAACAACACCTCCGCCTTGTCTTCTCCCTCCTCGCTCCTCTCCTCCACAAAAGACCCGATCCCCGATACCCAAACCCCGACCCTCGACCCTGACGCCCCGACCCCTCCCCGGCCTTGACTGTGGTGTAGTACTGCAGTATACAGTACTGGAAGTCCGGAGTACATACGGAGTGCATCCTGTGTATATTGTAGAAGTCCGGAGTACATACATCCAGTGTACATACTACGTTGTACCTACAGTATGTACCCGTACATACTGTCCGGTCCCCCCGCGCCCCCGGACTTTTTCGGCATTGGCCTACTCCAGAACGGCATGTCTTGGCCGGGATCGACCCGGCCTAATGGCGGATCCTGGCTTCATGCAGCATGTGCTGTACCACACTTCAGTGGTATAGATGTATGCGCCCGGAGAGTTTGGAGTCGAAACTGGCCGAAGGGTCGACAGTATGTCCATTGCCCACACTCCAGACACTGGTATGTACGGAGTATGCTTCCACCCCTCCACCCCATCCCACCCCCCGCCCCCATCTGAAAGCTCCAGGTTTAGTTTAAAGCCAGTCCAAGGCTCCAGCCGAGCTCGGAGCCGAGCTTCAAACCCACAGCCCATAGTCCCACTTGGCTTGTGCTAGCCTCTGATCACGACAGTCCTCAGACCTCAGACCTCGCATCAGCTGGCCTACACTTACCCTTACAGTAATCTGTGCGCCTACCCTTACACTAATCTGTGCGCCTACCCTTACAAGAATCTGTGCGGCTGCCTCAATGAGTCCGGCCGGCCCTCCTGGGTGCGGGCAGCACTGGCAGTCTGGTCTGGGGTAATAGAGGAAGGTGTGTGGCCGGGTCGGGGTCACGATCGGGGTCACGGTCACGAATTGAGACGAGACGATGAGGAAGATTGAGATATAAACTTGGGAGAAGGACCCCTCCTATGACTTTGGGACACTCACACTCAAACCTTTATCCGTCTCAACGCAAAGTGACAAGTGACAAGGTAACTAGAGTCAGACCTGACCTGACCTGACCAGACCTAAGCTGACCAGACCAGAGCAGACTCGATAAGCGTTGGGTCCCCCGTCTGAGATATCTCTCTTTGCCGACCAAACATCAACAACAACATGGGTTCCGTGTCGAATCGGCCTCAATACGATGCCATCATCGTCGGGGCCGGATTTGGAGGCCTGTACGCGCTGCACGAACTGCGCAAGCGCAACTTCAAGACGCTGGTGATCGACGAGGCGCCCGACATCGGCGGCGTGTGGTACTGGAACGTGTACCCCGGAGCACGCGTCGACACCAAGGTGCCGCTGTACGAATTCTCCAACAGCGAGCTCTGGAAGGACTGGGTGTGGAGCGAGAAGTACCCCGGGACACGGGAGATCCAGCGGTACTTCGAGCACGTCGAGTCGAAGCTGCACCTGAAGAAAGACGTGCTGTTCAACACGCGGGTGGTCGGGGCCGACTTTGACGACGCCAACAGCCAATGGAGCGTCAAGACTCTGGTCAAGAAGCAGCCCGTGCAAAAGCCCGGCGGCGAGGCTGAGGCGCAGGCTGCCACTGTCAGCCAGGACGGGCCGGAGCTGACGACGCGACATCTGATCCTGGCGACGGGGTTCGCGTCCAAGGCGTTCGTCCCCAACTTCCCGAACCTGGACAAGTTCGCCGGGCCGCACTTCCACACGTCGCGCTGGCCGCAAGGCGGCGTCGACTACGCCGGCAAGAAGGTCGGCATCGTGGGCAACGGGTCGAGCGGGCTGCAGGTGATCCAGGAGCTGGCGCCATCGGTGGGCCACCTGACGGTGTTCCAGCGCAACCCGACATACGCGCTGCCGATGCGGCAGCGACCATTGACGGTGGCGGAGCAGGACAAGGCGCGATACACGGCGCTGTACGAGCTGCGGCGCCACACGTTCGCGGGGCTGGACGCCGAGTTCAACGTGCAGCTGGACCCGACGCCCGAGGCGCGCCACGCCTTCTTCAGCAAGGTGTGGGACGACGGCGGGCTGGCCTACTGGCTCAGCAGCTACCAGGCCGTCATCATGAACAAAGAAGTCAACCGCGAGGCGTACGAGTTCTGGCGCAGCAAGGTGCTGCCGCGCATCAAGGACCCGGCCAAACAGGAGCTGCTGGCCCCGGCCAACCCGCCCTACTACTTCGGCACCAAGCGCGCCACGCTCGAGCAGCAGTACTACGAGGTGTACAACCGCGACAACGTCGACCTGGTCGACGCCAAGAACAACCCCATCGTCGACGTGCGGCCCGACGGCGTCGTCACCAAGGACGGCACCTTCATCGAGCTCGACGTTTTGGTGCTCGCCACCGGCTTCGACTCCGTCACCGGCGGCATCCTCAACATCGACCTGAAGGGCCGCAACGGCCAGTCGCTGCGGGAGAAGTGGAAGAAAGGCACCTGGACCAACTTGGGCCTGATGACCCACGGCTTCCCCAACCTGTTCTTCCTGTACGGGCCTCAGGGCCCCACCTCCTTCTGCAACGGTCCTACCTGTGCCGAAATCCAGGGCGACTGGATCGTCCAGACCCTCGAGTACCTCCGTCTGCATGACCACAAGGAACTCGACCCCTCCGCCGAGTCCGAGGCTGGCTGGAGGGCCCTGACTAATGCCATTGGCAACGCCACTTTGCTGCCCGAGACTGATTCCGAGTACATGGGCACCAATATCCCGGGGAAGCCTAAGGAGGTGCTGAACTATTTGGGTGGTTTGAACGACTATGTCAAGCGCATCAACACTACTGTTGCTCAAGGATATCCTGGGTTTGATAAGAACTAGTCTGTCTGTCCTAGTCCTAGTTACACAGGTACAGGTACAGATACATGCTGTGGAGTAAGGAAGGAAGAAATGTTTGAGAAATGTTTATGAAGAAATCTTGGATATTGCCTGACCATGGATTCCGTATATGTTGTTTTTCGTATATGTTGTCCTTCCACGCCTGAAGGTCAACCGGGACTGAGAATATCCCCTGCGGCCGCTGGACATGACTCCCAACCGGTGGTGACAAGACTTGATGGATTACACCCACGTACATGAGGATAGCTAGGACAGTGACGGAGCAGGGACATGAGGAGGGCTAGGACAGTGGCGGAGCAGGGACATGAGAATGGTTAGGACAGTGGTGGAGCAAAGGGCAGAGGACTGATTACTGAATACTGATTTAGAGCAATTCCAATTCAAGCGTCACCAGTATTTTATACGTCTGTACAGGAATCAAGCGTCACCTGGATTGATACCTTTGTACGGGTCATGTTACTGTGCTTCTGTTTCGTCTCCTTATCCTTCTCGTCCTTGGTGTCCTGCTTCTTCTCGTCATATTTTCCTCTTCTCGTCCTTGGTGCTCCCCTCCTTCTCATCCTGTTCTCCTCAATTGTCATACTGCGAAAGAAAAGCCAATGCATCGGCCTTCTCCCTCTTGACCGCCTGCAAGACCTTCTCACTCCGAGGCTCCACTCGGACTTTAAACGGCAACGGACTGACCAAGATACAGGAGTTGTAGGCATTCTCGTCCAGAGGAATGGTCTTGCCCGTGGCCGGATCCGTGGGTTCGTAGATGTTGAACGCCCACAAGAGCTTGGCTGTGATGCGCCACATGTTGCGTTCGGCCAGATGCACGCCAGGACAGATGCGACGGCCGGCGCCGTAGCCGTAGTGATGTAAACTGAGAACCGAGGTCAGCTAGGTAGGACTATATTAATGTGGAGATTGTAATGGCCAAACTTATCTCTCTTTTCATATTCCGGCGACGAAGCATACTCGTTGGCCAGCTTGGGGTGGTTGAGGAACCGGTCGGGATTGAACTGAACGTGGTCGGCGTACAGCTTCTCATCCTGATGCATCGCCCACACTGCGATGAAGATGGTACTGCCTTTGGGGATCAGGTATCCGTTATAGTAGTCGTCTAGAGTACAGTAAGGGTCAGTTCTGTTCAAGTCTTGTTCTTCATGCGCCTTCCTTCCTCTTTTGTAGGGGTGGAAAAGTGGACTGAATGCACCTTTTGTCACGCGATGTGGTAAAGCCGTACGTGCGCTGTCCATATACATGTCTGGTCAGTAAAGGTCTGGAGTGGAGTGCTAGTGATAAGACGGCTGACAGGATGAACGAAGGCGAGATGAGGAAGTAGGGGATGGGGTTGTGAGTGTGAGTGCAATTGTGAGTGAGTGTGAGTGTAATTGTGAGTGAGTACGAATCCAAGTCTGAATCCGAGTAGTATAGTAATGCGCGTGTGAGTGTGAGTGTGAGTGTGTGAGAGTATGGGTAGTATAAAGTGCATAGTTGGTCACATACGTTGGTCGCCATCTCAACCCCTCCTTGATGATACAGTTGATATAAGGCAATTTCTCAAAGTCATCAAAAGTGGGAGCCTTGTCCGGACCGCAGACGCGATCGATCTCCGCCTGAGCCTTGCGCTGCACTTCGGGATGTTTGGCCAGCGCCATGATGATGGTGAGCACCTGGTTCGCGGTGGTGTCGGCGCCGGCCTCGACCAGCTCGCCAAACAAGTTGTTGAAGGCAAATTCGGGATACGGCCAATTATCGCTCTCCTTCAGCTCGTCGAGCTTCTCGTCGATCAAGCAGTCACGCTTGTCGCCCTTCTGTCTCCGTGCGTCGACAATCTTCCGCGCGCGGGTCCAGAGATCCGCTCGCAGCTTCTTGACTTCGTCCATGCGCTTCCGCCACAGGCCCGGCATGTACCAGCACAGAGGGAACTCTTCGATGGGCGGGTTGGCCCCGGGTTCGAGCACTTCTCCCCACTAAGAGCCCGACGTCAGTCTCAGTCATAGCGATTGAGGAGGGGTTGGACAGTCTCAGTCATGGAGATTGAGGAGGGGTTGGTCAGTCTCAGTCATAGAGATTGAGGAAGCTTGCGAGCATGGAGATTGAGGACGGGTAGGGCGCAAGGAAAGGAAATCACAGCCCTGGCCTGGCCTGGCCTCGCCGGACTCAACCTGTGTGCGCAAGGAAAGGAAATCACAGCCTGACTCAACAGGACCTACCTTTTCCATCATGTGATAAAAGTCCTTGTACCAGAACGAATCCAGATCCCGGGCCCGATGTCCATACAGCAGAGAACACGCCACCGAGACGGGATACAGGCGCGCATAATCGAAGATGCGGTCGGGGTCTTCCAGCAGGTTGTTCATGAAGACGACGGATCTACAGGATTGACAGTTAGCAAAAGCCCTGATGGTTTTTTCTTTTTGGTTTCCGGTCCTGAAGGACTGCACAGATGGGCGGTGGGCGGTGCGCCATTCTTCTCATCCAAGCAATGTGCCTGGTCACCTGCAAGGCTGAAGAAGTTGCGCCTCCCCATCAAGCTTCTTCAGTACTCCCATCAATCCTTCTTCAGTACTTACTCGGCTTCCTGGACGCGGAAGTGATGCGTGTCCAGCTTCTGCGGACTGAAATGCCGCACGGCGATGGCGCGCTTGAGCTTCCACGACGGGCCCTGTTGCTCGAAGGAGAAGTGGTGGCCGTCGGTGACGTGCATGGCCACCGCGTTCTCCGGCCGGTCCGAATAGATGGCGCCCTTCTTGTCCAGCAGCTGCCCGACGATCTGGGGGTCGGAGATGACGACAATGGTCGAGTCCAGCACCTTGAGCGAGTATATCGGGCCATATTTCTGCACCCATTCTTGGAATCTGGGAGTGCACATGTTAGCGAGGGGTCCATACAGGTACATGGCTGACGCATAACACAGAACACAGAACACAGGAGCACAGGAGCGGCTGGGTCTGGTGTTGGTGTTGGTGTTGGTGTTGGTGTTGGGGAGTACCGATGTGTCCAAGCAGGCTTCATCGATACGTCCCAGCAGGCTTCGTTCCTTCACTTTCCACTTTCACTTACTTTAGTCCAATCCCCGTGGTCGGGATGAGATGTGCATTGCCCAAGACTGGAACCGTCGGCGGCCCCGGAGGCAGACGCGGGTCTCGGCGACCGATGCGCAACACGCGATACACGACGAAAAGCAACAACACTGCCAGCCCGGTGCTGGCGGCGGTTACGGTGGATGGCATGACGGCCGAAAGGGGGAGATAAAGACGGCCAGCAGAGACCAAGAAGAGAGCAGACAGCCAGCAAAGCAGAGCAGCAAAGCAGAAGGGAAAAGGGAAAGCAAAAGAGAACAAGCCTGGTCGATTGTCCCTTCTCTGTTTCGAGGAATAGGAATCACGAACCACCTTTGCAAAGTCAGATCGATCTGTATAGAGATCTACGAGACTTGCACCTTATACTACTTTACTTCGCTTCGGTCAGGAGGATACATCATAAATACTCCTAGCTCTAGCCCCGTGTCTGGAGAACCATCGGATACCCTGGAATGAGACTGTTTGGTCCAGTCCCAGTCCAGTCCCAGTCCAGCTCAGGTCTGTTCCCCGGACTGATATCATGTTCATGATCGTCAAATCCGGAGCAGTGCCACTGGGGCCACTGGGGTCATTGGGAATTGGGAGCATTGCCATTGGGGCCACTGGGGTCTCTGGGAATTGGGGGAGTGGGGATTGGTGCCTCAAGTTCCCAGGGTAATTCCATCCTTTGGAAGATCCAATGCCGTCGTGGCGGCGTCGATGGAGACCACAACTGCCGCGGTGGCAAGGGCGGTGTCTATGCTGCTCAGTGTGCTCCGGATCATATATGACAGGCTGGGGAGGAGGAAATTCATCCTATCCTATCCCAGACGAGATGGACAGATAGAGGGGGAATCCATCCTGTCCTATCCTAGACGACGTAGACAGGTAAAGGAGGGGAATTCATCCCATCATGGTCGAGATAGACAGCGAGACAGGGAGACAGGGCCAGAAGGCGTTGAAATAGGCTTATTTAACGGACGAGTTTTCGGCGTGAATATGAGTGGATGGAAGAACTATGAACCAACCGTCTATGGAGTAAGTTGCTTACCTATAGGTAGGTAGCTGTTAGGTATACGTGTCTCTAGGGCTGTGAGTATTAGTTGTGGCTAGTACCCTATCTTATGGTGGTGGGAGTGGTAGTGGTATTGGTACAGACTCGTACCCGTACTGTATACACTTATATAAGGTACTCGTATCCGTACTGTGTGGCTAGTACGGAATACCAGGTACCAGGTAAGTACCTAGGTAGTACGAAGTATCCGTACCTGGTAGTGTACCCATACCTAAGGTAGGTACCTAGAGTACCTAAGGTACGGAGTACAGTGTACGGATTACTAAGTAAGTTTGGAGGACCTCCCTAGTAGCCAGGTAATTAATTACAGGACCACAGCATGGGCGCACTCCGGTACAATTCAACTCCTTCATTCCTCCTCGGCATGACCTGTTTTTCTCCGTTGTCGCTGTCCATCTCCATCCCATCTCCATTCCATCTCCGCCGTTATTCCATTCCATTCCTATTCTCCCAGTCCCAGTCCTCCTGACCAAGCACTGGACTGGAGTGGCGGACTCGACTGGCTCCAAGGACCAGGACCAGGACTCAACACTCCAGGCTCAGGGTCATGTGCCCCGCCATAGAAACTAGAGACTAGAGACTCCAACTTACTGAACCCCATGGAGTCGGACATTGAGTTGAAACTGGAGTCGCTAGTTCGTAGTACTATCTCGGACTCCGTGCACGGTATCTGTACAGTGGCAATGCCATGCGAATGCCAATGCAACACCAGTCCGGGGCCTCGGGCATGGCCATGGCCTCTCTGACAAAGCGAAGATGTGTACGGATACGGACACTGTGCCATGCAGCGGGAGCTTTTCACCCGACATTGACATTGGCGTAATAGTAGTTACTGTAAGCGTCATAAAAGGAAAAGGACGCCGGACGCTCTACACTTACTTACTACACCTGCCACACCACTACACCTACTTGCCTTGCTTACCTTAACTGGCTATCTACTCCATAAACGATTTGGGGAATTCTCTCTTTGGTCTTCAAGTTCGCCTGCCTTTCCTATATCCGGCAAAATAACTGTGGCCGAGATAAATATCCCCGCACATAATATCAGCATCCAAGAAAAGGAAAGCTATCTGATCAGCCACACCGACGATCATCATGGTTGCTCCTCGGTTCTACGTTGTGGCTCGGGTCGTGGGTAGAGATGGCGCTTTGGCACCGGTACGTACAGTTGTTTGGTGCAGTCAATGTTCGAGGTTGTCTACTAGTCGGCTCTCAAGATCAAGAGTGTGGTTCAATATTCAAGATCAAGAGAGTGGTGTGCAGTCAACGTTCAAGATCAAGAGTGTGGTGTGCGGTTCAATATTCAAGTGTGGTGTGCAGACTGCAGTCCAACACTCAAGACAACCCCATCAGTTGAATGCTCAAGAGTGTGCCGTTCAATGCTCAAGACGAGATTTCCTCAGTTCAATGCTCAAGACTGTTACTAACTCACTGACTAGTGGAGAGACCGTCTCGCCGGACTCTGCGCCGTGTCCAAGACCGAACCCTACTCCGACTCCTACTACTGGGGCTACGACCTGGACGGCGAGCCCGACACGATCTGGGGCCTCGAAGGCTACTACCACCCGATCGGCTTCTTCATCGGCCACCTGTCGACCGACACGTTCAAGGAGGAGATGCGCAAGGTCGACGAGGACAAGCTGCTGCGCAACGTGCAAGGGCTCGGCAGCCCGGACTACGACCTGCACCACTACGACCTGGCGGGCGGGTTCGTCAAGCGGTCCGACGACAAGGACGCCGACGCCACCGACAGTTTCGTCGCCGTCGTGCATTTCTGGGCCGCCGCCCAGGGCAAGCGGAAGCAGTTGTTGGGTGTTTTGGCCGATGCCGCCGACGCCGTCAAGGATGCCGAGAAATCCCCCGCCATCACTGTCCAGAGTTTCGCCGTGTTGAAGGAGTTGAGTGATTTCACTTTGGCTACCGTTTATATCAGGTATGTTTACACCCAGCACCCAGCATTCAACACCCAACACCCAACACCAACACCCAGCACCCAGCACCCAGCACCCCACGAGCCTGCTATGCTGCTTGCGCCTAACCCTACCCTATCCTCCCTGCACCGAACATCATCGGACTGTTGTTGAGTCTGCCGCTGACAATCCCCCCTAGAACTCGAACCCAGGCAGATTGGGAAAAGTTCCAGGCCACCAAGATCTGGAAAGATCTGTTGGAGACGGTCAAGCCCATCACGGCCAAGCAGGAGGTTCACCGCTCCCAGTCCTTCATCGGTCACATCGGCCAGGAGGCGCCTGCGAACCCTTAGAACACGGACACATAAATTTATATACTTATAGACAGCAGGATAGACAGCTGAAGAGACAGACAGCTGAATAGACAGCTGAATAGACAGCTGAATAGACAGCTGAATAGACAGCTGAATAGATAGCTGAATAGATAGCTGAATAGATCGGACATTAGATTGGCATCTCAATTGATCACCCGCGCACGAAACAAGTGAAACAAGTCAAGTGGTAGCAATGTAGAACCTCAGCATGATCTATTCATTCCATTTTACGTATGTGGCAATGCCCTTTATCTGTCCGTGTCCATGCCTATGCTCTCTTCTCCTTTATCTACCTAGTCATTCTTTCCTCATTGCTCATGGTAAACCTCGTTGATCAGGGTACCAATGCCCTGGGTGTAGACCCGGATGTCGTCACCGTGCTTCAGGATAATCCTGGGTTTCCGGACCATGCCAATCCCGGGGCCTGTTCCGGTCATGATGACCGTACCTCGCTCCAGCGTGGTACCTTGCGAGAGGAAGGCAATGGTCTGGGGAATGTTGAAGATCATCTCCCTGTAAGTCCGTTAGCGTACGGCCTACCTCCGAGGGCGGCGGGCGGACAAACCTTGTGTTCGAATCCTGCACCACTTCGCCGTTGTAAATCGCCTTGATGTCCAACTGGTGCGGGTCGGGGATGGCCTCAGGTGAGACCAACACGGGCCCAATCGGTGCTGAACCGTCCAAGCCTGCAGTTTGTGTTAGTTGATCCAAGAATATCTCATCAGATGGCTGGTTTGGTTCGGTCCATACCCTTGCCGAAGCACCATTGGCTGTTCTTCAACTGCTGTGCTCTGGCACTGACATCATTGCTCGAGGTGTAGCCCAGCACGTAGTTGTAGGCCTCGGACTCGGGAATGTCACGACCGTCCTTAGAAATGACCACGGTCAATTCAGCCTCGTAGTCGGCGGTGTCGTCCTGCGCGATCTTGGGGAGGTTGATCTTGGCGGGGAAGGGTCCAGCAAGAGCGGTGCGGGGCTTGATGAACAGCACAGGCACGTCGGGGATGGGCATGTTGGCCTCCTTCGCATGGTCGCGGTAGTTGAGCCCCAGGCAGCGGATGATGGGTGTTTGCTCGATGCTCAAAGGCGAGAGGAGCTGGAAAGAGATGGCGGGTTAGCACTCCCGCTCCGCAACACTCAATTCAACACTCAGCACTCACTTGCTTGACGGTCAGGGTCTGGTTGGTCACCACGCCGTCGAAGACGGAACCCGACACCACTTTGGCGTCAATCTCTTTGCCTTCAAAGGTCGCCAGCCCAACATCGGGGAACTTCTTTGCGTCGATCTGGCCCAGATGGATCTGGCCGTCTTCCTTCGCAATGAAGCGGATCAAGTGAGTCCAGCGACGGGAGGCCATGGTCAATGTGTGGTTGGGTTGGGTTGGTAAAGAGAGATGAGTATGACAGGACAGAGAGAATGGAATTCAATCAACAGAACAGGAACAGGAACAGAAAATCTAAAGGAGAAAAGCAGAAGGAGAGGCCCTGGCGGGTTTGCCCACGCCCTTGGCCTTGGGAAGGAGGAATTAATGGCAGCGGCAGCTACAGTGCGAGCTGCCCGCGATCCAGGGTCCCGTGTTCCCGTGTTCCTCTCATGTCCCATGTCCCACAACTTGTGGTGTCGGACGGAGTCTCACCGAGCTCCCCATCGGTACCTATTCCGGAGCAAGCCCCAACTCCCAACCCCCGAGCTGCTCTGCCATCCAGTGCTTGCCTGCATAATTCCTCGTCTCTACCATCGTGCCCCAGCTGGAGCTGGAGGGGTCGCTCAAGATGGGCCGCCGCGAAGGGTTCGGAATTTGGATGGGAGTGGTTAATTGGTTGATGGGTTGTCGGACCAACTTCGCGCAAACTTCAGAACTGGCCTTTGGGGCCCTGCCGAAAGACGCTTTGTCTGCGGGGGCTGACGACAGAAGAGTATGAGGATGGAGGGGCAGTTACTAGTAGTGAGGCGGAGGGGCAGGCGAGAGTCTGCCTGCGCCCTGAGAATCTTGCGGGAGAACATGGGTTTGGGCGGCCGAGGCAAAATGCGACCGGCACAGTACACAGTACTGTACACAGTACACTGTACTCAGTACCTACTCGGTGTCAAGCAAGCAAGCTCAAGCTGGACTATACCTATACAGACCGACCCTGCATCTTGATACTCTACTGTACCATGATCGAGTGGGCGCAACAGGAGTCGAAGAGTCGTGTCCCAGCCTGACCCTCGCTCCAATGTCCAGGCACACCGGTGAGAAGTACAGAGTACAGTACATACCAGCACATTCTCTCCCGAGGGGTGCCCATCAACGATCAACGCTCAACGCTCCTTTTGCTCGATGGAGTACAGAGTACAGGCAGAGCCCTCAACACTCTATATCATTACCAGGTACCAGTACCTACCTACAGAGTACAAGTATTGGTACTGTCCTTGGTAGGCACCATGTGAACTATGAGGGCGCAGGCTCAGGCGCAGGCTCAGGCGCACACAGACTCAATCGCGGGGCACTTTGTTCTACTCACCTGCATTTATTATTATTGGCCTTGGCAGACCTGGCACCCGCCTGGTGCACCTGAGGCTGCTGCTTTAAGGTACACTGCAGTGGCACTCCAGTCCCTTCGCCGCCACACTCAAGCTCAGGCTCCTAGGCTGCATTTTAGGCTAAATGCCTGCCCTACATTCCAGACTCTCCTCCGGTGGTCAATCGATCATACCCTCTCCTCAACGCCGTCATGATGACAACGCTGCTCGCATTACCCACAATGGAAGCCGGTCCGCCCAACTTCTCACCATGTCTTCATGGTCGAGATACTTGTATCGCAATTTGCTTACCATCTTTCTACTCACAATATATGACCCTCACGTCCCTACTAACCCGTCATTGACATTCCTCAGTCTGTGATTGTGTGCTGCGCGGTTCTGACCCAGATCAAACTCGCCCACCATGACTACCGCGACGAAGACGAGGGTAGGTTTCTCTGGTCTCGGGGCAGGACTCACGACGCGGTGACTGACTTTGCGCCGCAGGAAAATAATTCCTTCGTTCTTCGCGGAGTCAAAGATGTCCAGTTCGAAGAGCGCCCCGTCCCGAAGCTCACCAATCCCTACGACGTCCTCCTCCAAGTCAATTTCACCGGCATCTGCGGATCCGACGTCCACTACTGGCAGCATGGTCGGATCGGGCATTTCGTGGTCAATGATCCCATGGTCCTTGGCCATGAGTCCGCCGGCACTGTCGTCGAGGTCGGATCACATGTCAAGACTCTGAAAAAGGGCGATCGAGTGGCCATGGAGCCAGGCGTCCCCTGCCGGCGCTGTGTGCGGTGTAAAGAAGGCAAATACAATTTGTGCTTTGATATGGCCTTTGCCGCCACCCCGCCCTACGACGGGACCCTGGCCAAATACTATCTGCTCCCAGAGGACTTTTGCTACAAGCTGCCGGACAACATGACCTTGGAGGAAGGCGCTTTGATGGAGCCTCTCGCCGTCGCCGTGCATATCACCAAACAAGCCGGGGTGAAGCAAGGTGACACGGCAGTCGTATTCGGCGCCGGGCCCGTCGGACTCTTGTGCTGCGCGGTCGCCCACACGTTGGGGGCCAAAAAGGTCATTGCTGTGGACATCAACAAAGAGCGGCTCGAGTTTGCGAAATCCTTTGCGGCCACGGCCTCGTTTGAGCCGGCCAAGGTGTCGGCCGCCGAGAATGCCCAGCGTCTCAAGGACGAAAACGACCTCGGCCAGGGTGCTGATGTAGCCATCGACGCGAGCGGCGCGGAACCGAGTGTGCAGACCGCCATCCACGTGCTGCGCATGGGCGGCCGGTATGTTCAAGGTGGAATGGGGCGAGATGAGATCACATTCCCCATCATGGCCGCCTGCACCAAGGAGCTCACCGTCAAGGGCAGTTTCCGCTACGGGTCGGGTGACTACCAGATGGCGGTGGACCTGGCCAGTAGTGGTCAGGTGGATGTGAAGAAGTTGATTACCCGGAAAGTCAGTTTCGAGAATGCCGAGCAGGCGTTTGAGGACGTGAAGGCTGGAAAGGCAATCAAGGTCTTGATTGAGGGGCCTCGGTGAAATTGAACCAGCAAGAAAAAAGTAAAAAATGACATAGCAGTCACCACCCCATGGAGTCAAGATCATGATCCTTGCTCTGTCCCACCCAGGTAGGGTATTACAAGCCGTTGTGTCACCTGGTGCAATTGTGAATTCCTCCTTTGCGAAGGGGCGTCTCTTGTTTCATCCGTCGGGTCTTTACATGACTGCCCTACCCCAGCCCAGCACCGCTGCAACATGTCAATTTCATTCGGTTGACATTGAAGAGAAGGACGTGGAGTTTGTGTCAGGCACCACACCTGAAAGACACCACGTTTCGACCAGGAACTAGTGATGAATCTCTGCCCTCCAGAAAGGGAATTCGACCACTGTGACGCAATCCCTTCCATCCATCCTCCCAGTGTCATTGAATGGCCGTCTCTGAACAAGAGGTATAAGTAGCTGCCCCTCCCGCCCTGTTTGCTTTTTCTCTTCCCATTTTCATGCGGTGCTTTGCGTGTTGTGCTTTGCGTGTCGTGGCAGCAAACGCCCTCTGGGTCTAGGGCTTCAAGTATCCCTGCTGTTTCGCTCTGTTGATTCCTTGATCACTCTCCGGTCCTCCCTCCCGTTCCCTTTTCAGATATATATATATACATACGTACGCACTTGGTTGAGATCTTTGCCATCCCGTCCAGTCAAGGAAAAGTCGTCATGAGCCTGGATGACACACCAGCCCATCGCTCGTCGAACTGGAACTGGAACTGGCTATGCATGACGTATGCAGTGGCAAGAAGAGATTCCACGGACTCTGCCCAACCCTGTCGAGAGTGCATGGCACCGGCATCATCACCCACCCAAGAGCTCACATGCTCTCGCCTTAGTCAGAGGTATTTGAGATGCCTGGTCGGTTTTCTCCTACTCCTACAGCAGCAAGCGTCTCACTGTCAAGACTGCTCACGCTAAACAGAATCCTTGGAGCACAGGAACCGTCTCCCGCATGATCTTCTTGATATGGGTTGCGCCTTCGAGACCGCCTTCCGCATGATCTTCTTGATATGGTTTGCACCGTTCGAGACCGCCAGCAAGGCCGACCGGCTGAAGCGCACACTCGCGTCCGAAGAGTACAGCCAGCTGGCGAATGAATTCAACCTTAGCTCTCGAGCCGGACTGCGTCCCATGCCACATTTGACCAGAAGGCGAGGAGAGCCAGGTCTAAGTGGATGGAGATCTCAATGGCTATTCTTCAAATTATCGGGGCCCACAATGTCAAATCCGAACGAGAGTATAGGAACCGAGGAATTCGAATGTCCCCAGGAATGGTGTGAAAAAGCTTTGAACAACAAAGCTAGTCTGGCCGCACATGTGTGGCGGAAACACACCGTATATCGTCTCCTTAGCACACGCTGGTCCCTCATGGCAGGAGTTGCTAGGCGCAGCGACTGAGCGCTCTGGACTTCTCTCTGCTCCCCCTTGCCCTGGAATCGACATTTCCGGCCTGGGGCTGGTCTCTAGCACTGGGCTTGGCCGTCTTCGCTGGTGTGAACCGGTTCTGTTCGAAGGGCCCGTCTGCATATTGACGATGCCGCCACCCGGAAACTACCATCCACTCTCGGCCGGACTGCACCGTCACTGTCATGCCGCTACGTTAGCGGAACTTTTTACAACTTTTGATGTTGAGCACTCTCCTCCCTTCGGCCCCTTCGAACAGAACGGAGTGTCTCTCTCCTCATTAGCCTTGGTCTCTTTCTCCATGACAGATCGCGCCTGTCGACATTCCAGCAGGGATGATGATGGGATCCGGCTACTTGGCACACGGCACATTCTTCTGGGACAAATAAACACTTGGCCCATCTTCTCTCACTTCATTTGAGTCGTGCGCATTACGCGGATTATTGGTCGACTGTACTCCCCCGGCTGCGAGGAGTCGATTCGCATGCGAGAGGTCTGAAAACCCGTCGAAAGAGACCCTCAGGCGCGTCCTGACGTTGAAGACGTGGATCGTCGCCTCCGAAGTCTACCCCAAAGATCTCAAGGCAGACAAGGTTCGTTTTTTCCGACCTCCCTCCAGATTATTTCTGACCTTGGCTCTTAGCAAGAGGGTGTAGCGACTTCCTGCGGCATCCACCGCAAGAACTACGTCCAGGTTCGTTTTTCTCGACTCGCCCCTCGAAAAAGGCTAACGCAACTTAGTTCTTCCAGATGCTGACTTCCAAGGCCAAGACGAAGAATTAGAAGGTATGTTCGATTTATCCGGCCCGCGACTCGAAAATATCTAACCGTGTCTCTAGTTCTCCGTCGACGAGGCCGTCCAGCGTCTGACCGACAACGGGTGGAAATTTCCCCTCTAAACCGGTCCCACACGAGACCATACCCGTCTTTGTTAAGACGACCCTCGTTTTGTTTTACTACCATCAATGCTAGGGTGTGATCGTTTTTTTCCTGGGCCTAATAGGGGCAAGCATGGGCGTGCTCGTTTTTATCGAGCCTAGGTCAAGTTCCCCGTCGAAGAGGCTATCAAGCTACTGACTGACAATGGCTACAAATTTCCACTCTGAACTGGTCAAAAACGAGGCCACATCCGCTTTTGTCGAGTCGATTCGCATGCGAGAAGTGCGAAAACATGTCGAAAAAGACCGTCAGGCCGGCATCATACTTGATCCCAGTATCCATATACTTGAGAAGGTATTCATCGTGAGAAAGGTCGCTCAGTATACTTGGGAAGGTATTCACCGAGAGACAGGTCGATGGCTTGGACACGCGGGTCGTACACACCATCACAGACCTCGCCAAAATGGATTCCAATGCGATGACACAGGTCGTTATGAGCTTGGATGAGGTGCCCAAAAAACCGGGAGAGGTTTTGAAGAAACAACTTCGGGAGAGGATTTGAAGAAACAACTTCGGGAACTCATACTGATGCTTGCAGACACGCGGGTCGTACACACCATCATACTCATGCTTGCGGATAGACTCAAACATTCTCCGGATGTTCGAGTCCAGCCTGGCCAGACATGAGGCGAAGATCCACGTCTTCAACGTCAGGACAATCCGTCTAGAGGCCGACCTGCTCTACCCCGACTGCAGACAACTTCCCACTTGATGTACGCCGACTTCAGACAACGTTTCCACCTTATGGACGCCACTAACGAGTTGACGTCGGACCAAAAGAAAGAAGAAAGAATCCTCCCTGCTTCGTTAGTCGTCGCAGCGGGTCGTCCGGCTGTGTGCCTGGAGTCTCGACCGGTTGCTCTTGATTGGCAGCCTAAAAGCATGAGCTTCCACCCGCTCTTGTCTCTGCCGCGCAACGCGTGATTGGCAACGATGCGCGATTGTCGCCGGCGGACGTCAATTTCCAACGCCAGAAGACTCCGTCGGGTCAAACTCAAACGGGTCAAACTCAAACGGGTCAAACTCAAACGTTGGAGACTCAACAGGGGCTTATATATATATGCACGGTTTACTTTTTGCACTCACTTGCAAGAGAAACCTGCCAACATCGAAGTAAAGAGAAGAATCCTCGTTGACGTCCTTTTCGGGCCCGTACAATTTCCTCTTCGGGTTTTCGGCCGAGATGCAGATGGTCAACGCAGATGGTTTATCTATCGTCAGTCTTACTTGGAACCGACAAGATCATGCCATTCATTGTTTGGGACAATTGACAAACCGACATCAAGGATCTCAAGGATTCTGCACTCGACAGCAAGATCGACAAGGGATCTGAGTTCTCTTCCAGCAAGTAAACGTTACGATAGGACCAAACGGGGCTTCGATGCGAGCCAATACCTCCATCCAGCAGAAGCTGGTAGAACTGTAGATAGAGTTCTGTTCTGACCTGGCTTGTCTCGACTTCGGAGACGATAGACGGTTGAAATTCCCGTGCTTTGCGAAAACTCTTCCCTTCATATGTGACTGTTTGCGAACGCTGTCTCCAAGTCACAGGATTCCCGTGCCATGCGGGCCGGGGACACGAATACTAACAGGGTCGGCAATGCAATATCCAGCACAAGAATACCAACAAGGTCGGCAGTTCGTCCAATATACAGCATGGCGGCATGGAAATCACGGGCAAAAGAGTCGAAATACCGATTACCGCTCCCTACAACTGCTACAAATTCCAATGACCCTCCAGGAGATCGATCTTACCCGCTGCTTGGGAATGCTCAAGGAGAACGGTGAGATTCGGGTGGAACTCGGGCATGGCTCACCCAGCTCCCGGGGCCCCCTCTGCATACGAACCCAAACCATGGCAGGTGATGAGCGCCGCGTGGATGGGCGACATGGAGGATTCGCCAATGCGTGGCGGGATTCTCGGCAGTGATTGCGGATTAGGGAAGACGTCCACGATCTTCCAGCATCTGATGCAGAACTCAAAACCAAGAGAAATTCCAGATTCCGCCCTCATCACCGAGGGAGAACGAGGAACGTTCTTTCGAACTATCCAGCGAATATTTCGCCATGGCAGCAGCAAGCTATGGCACAGCCACCGACCATTCGGTCGCGACCGAAGCGGATATATATAGTTTGCCAGAAAGCAAGACTGGTCCGCAGAATGCCGGATGGCGCCTGACCAAAGCTTAGACAAGACGTCGATGACGCCAGTCGAGAGCTACTCGAGTCCATGCATTTTGCAGCAGGTATATCTGACAGATGGCAATGCCAACATGCCTCGAGAGCTGCTCGAGTCTATCTATTTCACGGCAGTCATACCTGACAGATAGCAATGTCAACATGGCGTCGCGGTCCCGCTGATAACGGACCACCGCGTACGATGTGTCTTTGGTGCAGAGGACGAGAGATCGAGGTATCGTTCAGCTTTTCATCGGCCGCCGAATTTTCCAGTTTATTGGAGAAATCCCTATATCGGTCGGCAACCCTACCGGATACTGCTGAAGGTAATGCACAATTGCGAGAAATGTACCGACAGTACAAAGGAGGGGAATCATTCGATAACGACATGACTCGGAGCGGTGGCCGGCCAGATGACTCAGAGATGCAGTCAACGATCAAGTTCAAAGAACTCCCTACAGAAGCCAGGGAACGTG